CAATCATAATCCTTCACTAGCTCCAACCATTGCCTCTGGCGCATGTTGAGCTCCTTCTGCGTGAAGATATACTGCAAACTCTTGTGATCGGTGTAGATCTCACACCGACCACCATACAGATAGTGCCTCCATATCTTGAGTGCATCAACAACGGCTGCCAACTCAAGATCGTGAGTCGGGTAGTTCTCCTCGTGGGGCTTCAGCTGCCGCGAAGCGTATGCGACAACCTTGCCCTCCTGCATCAGCACGCACCCAAGTCCCTGCTTCGAAGCATCACTGTAGATAGTGAAACTCCGTGTAGGGTCCGGTATAGTCAGCACGGGCGCTGTAGTCAACCTCTCCTTGAGCTCCTGAAAGCTCGACTTACAACGATGACTCCACTCAAACTTAATCCCTTTCCTCGTCAAACGTGTCAAGGGTAGGGCTATCTTCGAAAACCCCTCGATGAACCTCCTGTAGTAGCCTGCTAACCCGAGAAAACTCCGTATCTCGATAACAGACCTCGGTGCTGACCAGTTCCTCACTGCCTCGATCTTCCCGGGATCGACCTCAATGCCCTCGGCCGTAACGATGTGACCGAGGAACGCCACTCGATCGAGCCAAAACTCGCACTTTGAGAACTTGGCATACAGTCTCTCCTGCCTAAGAGTCTCCAACACGATCCTCAAATGCTCCTCATGCTGGGATGTGCTCCTCGAGTAGACCAAAATGTCATCTATGAAGACGATGACAAACTGGTCCAAGAATGGGTGGAATACACGGTTCATGAGATCCATGAACACCACCGGCGCATTGGTCAAGCCGAATGGCATCACGACAAACTCATAGTGACCGTATCGAGTACGAAACGCGGTACTAGCCACGTCAGAGTCCTTGATCTTCAGCTGGTGGTAGCCCGATCGCAAATCTATCCGGGAAAATACACGGGCACCCCTCAGCTGGTCAAACAAATCCTCGATCCTGGGGAGTGGATACTTGTTCTTCTCCATCAACCGGTTCAAGTCCCGGTAATCAATGCACATACGCAAAGTCCCGTCCTTCTTCTTCACGAAAAGGATAGGTGCTCTCCACGGAGAGACGCTCGGTCGGATGAAACCGAGACTCAATAGCTCCTGAATCTGAGCCTTCAACTCCTGAAGCTCCTTCGGCGCCATACGATACGGAGCTTTCGACACTAGCCCGGCTCCAGGCACCAAGTCGATCGTGAACTCCACCTGACGACTAGGTGGTCCT